CCTTTGGGAAGATCTTCTAATAATTTGCAGTTGAAATTACACTTAACGTACCAAAATGCTCCAACAACAGTTAAGACTTGACACCGGGCTTCTCTTAAATCTTCAGAATTTATATTGAAGGTTCCCAAAATATTGATCATTGGAAGAAGATTACGTAGTATTGCTGAGCAAACTTCTTGATCCCGGCGATAAAAGGAACATATCTCCCTATAAGAAACAACTAAACATTTGTATCTCAAAATATAAATAGCAACTTAATTTTATTAAGCAAGATTATTTTCTTACGGTAGAAGCTTGAGTAATGAGACAACATAATCTTCTGGCAAGGGGTTTTCTCCTCTGGGAAGTTCCTTCAACAAGACTAAGTACTAGTACAAACCACAATTGAAGACATAATATCAGAATAGTCCAATGTTTTTGTTCAAATGTATGAATGTAACAAATTCAAACACATATATATTCAAGATGTAATTGTTTTATATATTACAGTAGTATATTACTATTCAAGAAAGTATGATTAAGGGCTTTATGTACCAAAAAGAATTCTCCATTTGCCAACATTTATTTTTTAAAAAATAAACCTATGCTCAGCTTCGGTAGTATAAAGGTACATATATCAATATGCCGATGATACCCAGTTATACATCTCCATCCTGGGTGACCTGAGTGATGCCGTTGACCACCCTTTTGCGGTGCCTGGAGGCTGTGAGGGTCTGGATGGGGTGCAACAGGCTTCAGCTGAACCCCGATAAGATGGAGTGGCTGTGGATTCGAGGCCCCTCTGTATCTGAGGATCTACCATCTTTGGTTTTGGATGGGGTTGCACTGCCCCGGACAGACCCGGTGCATAATCTGGGAGTCCTCCTGGACTCACGACTTCTGCTCGAGGAGCAGGTGGCAGTCATGGGCAGGAGGGCCCTTGCCCAACTTTGTGTGGTGCACCAGTTACACCCTTTCCTGGATCAGGAGGCTCTCTGGTCAGTCACTTGCACCCTGGTCATCTCTCGATTAGACTACTGCAATGTGCTCTACATGGGGCTACTGTTGAAGAGTATCTGGAAGCTACAGCTAGTTCAAAATGCAGCTGCGCAGACAATCTTGGGTGCCCCAAGAATGGCACATGTAACACCTCTGCTGCGGGAGCTGCATCGGGTGCAAGTTTGCTTCCGGGTCCAATTCAAGGTGTTGGTTATCACCTTTAAAGCCCTACATGGCATGGGTCCAGTTTATCTAAGGGACTGTCTCACCCCCATCACATCCATCCATCCCACCCTGTCAGGCAGAGAGGGCATGTTGCGGATCCCATCAGCGAGGGAATGTCAGCTGGTGGGGCCCAGGAGGACACCCTTCTCTGTCGTTGCTCCTGCCCTTTGGAATATTCTACCCCCAGAGGTGCAATGGGCCCCTATTCTCCTCTCCCGGCTTTCTGGAATGGGTTAAAGATCTGGCTCTGCCAGCTTGTGTGGGGCAACAAGATTCTTAATCAACCCTGGGGGTGGCTGGCGCTCTGATGACGCTCCCTGAGCTACTTGCCAATTAATATCAACTCTTGGATTACATTTATTTTTATTTATTCAGGACTCTTCTATATTGTATTTTTAACTGATTTTAGCTTCTTTGTAAATCACTCAGAATTTCTTTTTGGCGAGATGGGCGGTGAAAAATTTGATAGATAGATAGACAGACAGACAGACAGACAGACAGACAGATAGACAGACAACTCTGCACAGTGATCCATATCCTAATATCTTCTTGACTGGGTAACTGCAATGCACTCTACATGGGTACTTCTAAACAAGCTGCATCCAGAGTGGAACATAGCTGCTTGATTTTCAAGAGAAACAGGACCACATAACACCAGATCTGAAACTGCTGCCCTTAATACCTGTGAGCTATCAGGCCCAATTTAAGCTGCTGAAATTAATCTATAAAATCCTAAACAGCTAACAATCCAGATATTTACAAGAGAGTCCCCTGATGATTTTATTGTGATGGCTTTAAGTCTCTGTTATTGTTTTCTTGTCACTCTGAATTTCTCTGAAAGAAAAGCTGGCATAGAAATAAAATAAATAATAAGTTATACTCCAACAGCATTTAAAAACAGAGAGCTAAGCAGAATAATATTTCATCACTGTACTTACCACATGTAAATGTAGAGGTTTAATAAAATCAAATGAATTTCCATCTATTAGCATTAAGAGTTTCCTCCAAATTTCGGAACATCTAAAGGGAACCATTTGCACTGTGGTTGCTCTGATAGCTATACACAAGAACTTCAAAATATCAAGAAGGAGCAAATCCTGTTTAGTCAGATGTTCTTCTGATAATGGACTTTTGGCACCTGTGATGAATGTATAGAAGCTATGAAAACACAGCTCTCAAAACTTACAATTAATTATCTGTCAGGAAGCCATAACCAACTTCATTTAACTAGAATGCACACCTCCTCCCTGCTCTCCTCCTACCAATCAGCATACTGGCTACCACATATAAAATAAAATGAATCTGAAGTAAAGTTATAACAGCTATTACAAAAAATGTACTAACATAACATTGGCATGGGGAGAAAGCACATGTTGAATGACCAGCATGTAGAAGTTTGAAAGAGCCAGAGACCAATAGAAGAGAATATGTGTAGCTCAGGGCTGAATTGTGGTTCTCTGAGCTTGGTTGTTTTCTTGCAAATGCTTCATTACCCAGCTAGGTAACATCTTCAGTGCTAAAATGGAATGGGGTTTGCTCTCTCTTTATATACTGTGTCATGCCCTGCCAGTGTGGGTGGGGGTGGGGGTTTTGTTTTGTTCTATTTTTCCCTCTGGTAGTTCCTTGATTAGGGTATTGGGAAACGTCTCAGAAACTACCAACAGACTATCACAACCACATGGCATCGTCGTAGCACACAAACCAACTAAAGCCCTCCAAAACATCTTAAGCAAACCAAAAGACCCAGTAGCCCAAGAAGAAAAAACAGGACTCATCTAAAACATACAGTGTAAAGGCTGTAACAAACACTATGTAGGACAGACAGGCAGAAGGGTTGCAGAGCGCATCCATGAACACCAACTAGCAGTCAGAAGACATGATGAAAACTCCTTAATCTCACAACACATGGACAGACT